GTGTGCCTACTAAGCAGTGCAGAGCTGGAATGGGGATCTTCATAGAAGGGTTCTCCATCCCCCTGCTCACAGCCCACCATGTTCAGTTCTCCATCATTCAAGATACCCCACAACATTATACCCTACTTGTACACAGGCATAGCCCTCCTGGCACACTCCATTTGCACACTCCTTTTGCATACGCGTGTGATCCTTATATACATGAATCCTCCCTTAAAACCCTGTCCACAGGAGCCCTGTCTACAGGCCTCAGATATGTGACTCTCATGCAACCTGGCTTATTCTGTCACTTAGGGGCTATAGGCAGGTGGGCATTAGTAGGAGTGGAGGCCCAGAGACCGGTGGTGTGGAGTACACAGTCTGCTGTGGAAGAGGCTGGTCAGGAAGGTAGCAGGCCCGACCTTTTAAGCAATCTGTTCAGCCCTGCAGCTAAGGAGCCCATTAGCAGCGGCTTCTCATTTCAGATTTCCCAGCATGCCATGGCCTGCAGACTGTGCACTGTTTATTTGGAGAAGCCGAGAAAAATTGTTTGTGTAATTAGAGCAGGGACAAGGGCTGCCCTTGAAGGGGTTCTCTGCAGGAGACCTGGGCCTGCAGCAGACGCCGACTCCAAGGCCCCACCACCAATCCAAGGAGCGGGACCGGCTGGGGCCCAAGAACAACAGAGGCCAGCAGGCGACTGAGCTGGAGAGCCTCCACCGTGGCCTCTCTGGCCCCCTCTCTTGGTAGTAACTCCTTGGACAGACCACCATTGTTCCACCAGGGCCAGGCAGAGAGGAAAGAAGGCCAAGGCGTTATGAAATCACAGTGGGGCACAAAGAGCCCAGGCTCTGGAATGCATCTTTGTTTCCTTGGGTCTCTCTGACCTTCAGTTTCCTCATCTGGAAAATGGGGTGGTACTAGACCCATCAGAGCTTGGTGAGTGGGAGGAGCAAAGAGCTCTGGATCAGTGTCTAGCAGGATGCCACTCGCCACTGCCTTCTTTCCCAACCTATTCTGGGATGAACCTTGACTCCTTGTTTTCTTTTCATCCAGATAATTTCCTTCTGAATCATTAGCTTTAATTCTGCCCACGTAGACTTTTCAACAAACTCTAACAATCACACTCTCACTGAATCCCAGGGTAGGCATATCTAGACACGTGGCATCCTGCTCTCTCACGGCAGCCTGTGCTTTGCCCTATTGCCTTTGATTATCAGAAAACCTGATTGGATCTATATTTGTCCTCATGAAACCATTCCTCCCCGCTCCCCATCCCGACACACAGGTGGGTCACTCTTGACATGAATCCTGGAGCTCTGGGCCAGGGGACCAGTAGGAACAGTTCCCTACCTAACAGAGGTTCCAAGTAAGGCCTGACCCTTCAGGCAAGACTTGAACCCTTAGTTTTGCAGCCCAGCTCAGCCCCACTCTGCCTGCTACACCTCAGTCTTGAAGACCCGATCACGGTCTCAGCCACCTCCTTCCCTGGCCTTGTTTGTTCAGTGCAGTAAGAAACAAATTCCTTCTTAACTCACATGGCAGGGACTGAGCTTCCCTCACTGGGGTCTCTCTTTTGGCGTCTGTGAAATGGGAAGTTGGGCTAGATAAACTCCAAGATAGTCCATATTAGTAGATGCTCGTGGAGAGCTTCCTGAAGTGGGGAGGGCGAGGAGGTCATGGGGGCCGAGGACACAAGTCATCAAGGGGCAGAGGCATGAGTGTAACCCTAGTTTGCTGGGTTCCAAAGCTCACATTGGGCCCAGCTATAAAGACACACACACACACCCCCAAAGGAAATGCAGAAAAAATCAGCCCTCTCCCTGAGGAGAAGCAGCATGCACTCATTCATTCATCCATTAATCCATTTTTTTTTCCATTTGTTTTAGTAATGAAAGAGTTGAGATCCAGCTTTCAAGAGGATTACAACAACCTGTTACCCATTCTTCAGCTTCAGAAATAAAACATCGCAAATAGAGCGGGAACCCTCCACATACACTCTGTGATGCTATTCCCTGTTTTCCCTCTCCTGAGGGAAGCCACTCTCCTGATTTTGATGTGTTGAAAGCTTTGCATTAAGGATATTCTGTGTACACTTAGTGACTCACTTTATCACTCCACATGATGCATGAGATGTGTCCATGTTAACACATGTAGCTGTAATTCATTCATTCTCACTGCTACATGACATTCCATTGTATAAGCACACCGCAGCTTGCTTATTGTCCATTCTCCGGATGGTGAACATTTAGGTAGCTTTGCACATTTTACTACAAAGGAGAGTGATTTTATGGATACCTTTGTGCCTGTTTCCTAGTGGACACATGTTGACCATTTATCTGGGGTATTTTTTTTAGATTTATTTATTTATTTATACAAGAACCGGGGTATAGGCCAGATGCGCGGGAGGGTGAGAGGATTCACCAGAGACAGAGTGGGGAACAGAACAGGCAGACTGACGAAATACACTGCCAAAGGGGAGCAGCAGGTGAGACAGGAGAGGTCTGCCACACCATGTGGGACCCTAGCCAGCCGGCATCGAACTGGTGCTGCAGAGGCTGTGGATATCTTCACAGCACTGCACTCAACCACCTGCGCCACCAGGGGAGGCCCTGTTTCTCTGGGATCTTAATGGGTCTGAGGGTGTGTCCTCACTTCTACCTTTACAAGATGTTGCCAAGTTGTCTTATTCATTTGTACCTTCCTAGGACTATTGTTTACTGAGCACTTATTATGCCGGTGTGATAGCATAGCTGGAGGAGCTGTCTGCATTAAAGTGAGAAGTGGAAGGAACAGGGTGAGGTCAGTTAGAAAGCACTTGGAAAAATGCAAGTAGTCAGTTCCCCAGAACTCGTGGAGAACGTTCTGGAAGGAGCTTGCAGGTGTTTTATGGTACCTTGCCTTGGGAGACATGGTGGGTGAGGGAAAACCTCCTAGCCAGCCTCTTTGGGCATGCAATCTCAGGAGGTCAGAGCTGACAATCAGCAGGCATGGTGACAGGGTCCTGGTTCTATCTCAAATTCGTCATGTGACCTTGGCCAGGTGCCTTCCCCCTCTAGACCTAAGTGTCTCCTCAATCTGTGGAGCAAGAAGGCAAGATGAAGTCTCAATCTTTTTTTGTCTACAGTTAAAAGATTTGGGCCAGAAGACTCAATGTATCACATTACCCTCAGAACCTTGATTTCCTCCTCTCTTCAACATGGACTTTCAAAGGAATCCCTGCTAGGCCCAGCTCCCAATATGGCCAGGAATACTCTAGAAGGGTTTGGTGTTACCCTTTTAACTGCAGTCCTGTGAGGATGCCGAGGGGTAGCAAAGGGGACCCCTGTGTTCCCTCCTGGCTTCTAGCTTTGGCTCCTTTACTCCTCTCAATTCTGTTGGGCCTCTTACCCAGACCCTGCTCCCACTCCAAGTCAGCCATCTCTGCACACAAGGTATAAATATAAAAAATAAATAAGCCCAGAGCGAACCTCAGAACTGAAGCAAATTGCTGGCAAGTGCTAGCCGCTGATTAGCATGCATAGTGGAAGTGCAACTGGGCATATCGGAGAGAAGTGCATTTTTCTGCAGGATACAGCTATCAGGATAGGCTGGGTTTGGAAGGATGCAGAGGGAGGGAGGCACAGGGATGGTACTCCTGCTGGATCTGGGGAGTCCACCAGCTACAAGGGCCCTGGCTTCCTCTCTCAAGCTGCTCAGTTCCCCATGCAATTTCCCCAAACCTGCACAAACGGTTCCTTTCAGCAAGCTAGAAACTGGGGAGATGAAAAAGATGGGGGAAGGGCCAAATAGGCCCAGGTGAGAGATTACCCTGGATCCAGGGTTAGCAGAGGGACCTGTGGCAAATGCATTTTGCCATCCCAAACCTCCATTTCCTCATCTGTAGATGAATTATTATTCTTGTTGAATGTCTTGTTGGACTGTGATGGCGCAATGAATTAGGAAAATGCTTAACAGTGATAAGTATATAGTAGGAAAAAAAAGATATGAGCCTCTCCCTCTTCCTCCTCCCACCTCTCTTCTTCCTCTTGCTCCCCTTTTTCCTCCCCTTCCTCTTCGTCCTCCTTCTCCACTCTACAGAACAGGCACCCCCTTCAGTCTATCACCTGGGGGTCACATACCAGGAAAAGTTAAGAAGCAAGAGGATTGTCTGGGAGGAATCCACAAGAGAAAGAAGAAAAAAAGTGAAAACAGTTCACATTTATTGGCTGCTCCATGTGTTCTGCACTGTGCAAAGTGCTTTGCAGTCTTTATCACATCATTTAAATATCTAGCAATCCCTTACAGATGAGGCTATGGAGGCATTGGGCGGTTACTAACTCACCCAAACTCAGACAGCTAGGTAGTAGCAGACCTGGCAGTTAAGCCCAGCCCATCTGCCTCCAGTTACTTTTGCCAGATAAAATATAGAAGCCTGGAGTTAACCTTGAATTTCAGAGGAACAATGAATACTTTTTAAGTACATACTGATACAAAAAAGGATGTACTTGTACTAAGAAGTTTTGTTGTTAACTGGACAACCTGGTTCTTTTATTGCTAGATCTGGCAACCCCTAACTCCAAGGGCTGCCCATTTAAGGGAAGCCTCCCATACCCTGAGACCTCTGAGAGAGGTAAAGGACTTCCTCAGGCCCAGGACCCCAAACTCTCTCTCCCCCCACCTGCAATTCCATGCCTGATAATAGCACTTTCACCAGGCCCGCAACCAGAGTTATTTTTAATGGAGGGAGGGTTGGGTCTCAACTGCCCCTCTGTAGGACCCTGAGCAACATCACTGAAAAGGGAGTGCCGGAGGACCTGGCTGTCCCTCAGGGGCCCTGGGTGCCCAAACCCCACAGGCCTGAGGCCCTAGACCAAGGGGTGGAGCAGCAGAAATAGCACCTGCTCTGGAATACGTGAACCTGGGTTTGGATCCTGGAAGTTACATTTATTTGATATGCGATCCGTCTTAGTTTGGGCTACCACTAAAAAATTCTGTAGATGGATGACTTCAACACCAAACATTTCTCCCTTATCCTGCAGGCTCGGGAACCAGAGGTCAAAAAGCTGGCAGAGCCCATGTTCGGCAAGAACCCTCTTCCTGACTTTTAGGTAGGTGGGTCTCTTCTTGTGTGTCTTCATTTGGTGGGAGGCAGGGAGTGTTGAACAAGCAGGAGCGCAGAGAGCAAGCTCTCCAATCTCTACTTACAAGGGCACCAATGCCATCTTGAAGACCCCAACTTCATGACCCCATTTAAACCTCATTCACATCAGGGGTCAGGGCTGCAACACATGAATTGTGGGGGGACACAAGCATTTCACCCACTGCAAACTACAGGCAGATGACTTCACCTCTGACTTCCCTCATCAAAAGCAGAGTTCTCTCCAGGAGTGAAGGTGCTGATGTGTAGTAGTCGGGAACTGACCTGTTGTCACCAATCACCCTCAAGCTGCTCCCCCCTGTGAACTGCCCTTACCCAGTGTCCTCTCTGCCTGCACCACAGCCTGGAGATCTCTTTTGGAGTGGCGAGAAAGAGACCAGGCAGCTGATGAGGGATTGGCCTCTGGGGTCACTTCCTGTGCAGCTGCCATACTTGGCATGTGGGAACACCTGCTCCCCTTCTCCTCTCAGCCCCCATCCTGCCAGCCACAACTCCTGTGAAATTCACACAAATACCAGTATTCCAACTATTCCCTTTGATTGAACGGGGCCTCTAGACAAGTGGTTTCTTGGCTAAATGAGGCCCCAGCCACAGTAGAGATCAACCAGGGAGGAGGGCCTCAGTGGGGTCGAAGATGCCCAACGTTAGAAAGAACCAATGGGGTTGACTTGGTGGTGTCCCTAAATGCTGCCCCTCCAAATGCTGCTCTCTAACTTGGGAAATGGGGAAAGCTGAGAGTTTGTCTGTAGTCATCTTCTGTCTCTGAGCCTATCTCCCCATTTTGTGGAGTGCCCACATTTAAAAAAAAAATATTTGTTTATGCATACAAGAGCTGGGGTGTAGGCCAGAGGTGCGGAGTGGGGGTGAGAGGATTCACCAGAGACAGAGCGGGCAACAGAACAGGCAGACAGACCGAAGACACTGCTGAGAGGAGCAGTGGGCGAGCCAGGAGAGGTCTGCAGCACCATGTGGGTCACCTCCTTGGGGATTGAACTCGTGCTGCAGTAGCTGCAGGTTGCTTCATAGTGTTGTGCTGAATCTCTTGTGCCACCAGGGAGGCCCCTGGAGTGCCCATGTTATCAGGTTTGTGTGCACAGGAGAGTGAAAGGGTAGATGAGAAACCATTTTATCAAACTAACACTGACCCGGAGGCAACTCATCATCGTGGCAGGTGACTTCACCTCTCACTTCCCTCAGCTAGAGACACCTTTGTCTCGCTAGCTGCGAAATGGAACTAGAATGCCATCTTCTAGGGTTGTTGAAGAATTAAGCGTGACATCCTCCGGGCTTCTTGGGCTGCTCCCTGTGGACAGGACACACTGCTGCCTGCCTCTATCACTCTTGTCAGTCTAATCCCTGCTCATTCTCAGGAGGGCCCCAGAGAATCCCCCCTCTTCCGAGAAGTCCTCTCTCAGAGCTGCAGAACATAAATCCTGAGGAGGGAGGGCACAAACATCTTCCTTCACCCCAGCCATCATTCCAGATAGGCCTGGGCATCCCCTGCTGACATCAGGGTGCCAGCACAGACCATTCCTGTGCTTCTACCTCTGTTTCCACAGTAGGCAGCACACTCATCAACTGCTCACCATCTCGGCCCTCATTTCCCCCCCTGACCAGCATGGGGCTTGGCACGGAACTGTGCTCAGTCAATGTTTGCAGAATGAGTGAAAGTGCCTCGTAAACTCCATCAACACTGCCATGTCGTCCAGATACGGGGATTATTCGAGTGCATCACTTTGAAACCCAAGATTCCTCCTATCACCAGTGGCTTTATCGTGGAGCTGGGTTTTCACAACCATATGAGCCTCTCTGCATCTTAAGCCTTTGCCCCTGCCTCTGGGTAGTGGGGCCTAGGATGACACGGGGGCTGGAGGGTGTGGGGGCACTTGGTGGATGGCAGGGTCAGTTGGGGCAGTCTCTGGGCTTGCTCTAGCCTGTCTCATGGGGGCTCTGGCCTGCCGTTTTGCCCTGCTGAGCCCACTGCGTTCAGTCGCAGACACCTCATTATCACAGTGATGCAGCCAAGCTGGAGGCAGTTCAGAGAAGAACAGTCAGAGCAATGTGTGTGTGGGGGTGGGGGAGCTGGCGCTGGCGGCGGGGGAAGGGAACAGTGGAGGCTGAGACATTCCGCTCAGTGGGGCCCAGCAGGGAACCTGAGAAGCGCAGCATCTGTGCACCAGCGTCTGGAGAAGGGCCTTCCCAGCAGGGGAAGAAATGAGCTAGCTGGGAAGACAGACCAAAGGGCACTTAGAGAAGGGGGCTCCTCTCTACCTGGGCCAGGGGACCCAGCCATAAGCCAGTGCCAGTGCCAGACCCAGCCATCATCTTTACCAGCCTTCAAAGGTGATCCCACCTCTTGCCGCCCCTGCAGTGATAGACACAGCCACTGCCACATCCTCAGAGCAAGAAGCCGAGGGAAGTGCTGGCATCGTGGGAAGGGTCTGAATGTGCCCACTCAGGTCTGTGGAAAGTGTTTCTGGGAAATCCAGTTTCATTGCCGACTCAGATGAAAAGGAAATTTGGACAACTTTATGGCTGTCCCACCCCATTTCTCATCTTATTGATGGCAATACTGGCTTAGAAAAGGAAAGGGGCTTGGCCAAATTACATGCAAAATTTGATCACATGTGAGTCAATGGTGCAGCCTGGACTGGAACCTAGGTCTTGTGAACTCCATGGCTTTCTTCCCCTAGGAACCGTGAGTCGCTACCCAGACTGTAGCCTGCCATTTGCTCAGTGACACATGACACCTCTTCTGCAGTAACTCCTCCCCAGATACACACCTGCACACCACACACACACACACACTTGCTTGTATGTGCAGGTCACTTTCACACACAACTGTCTCCAGGTGGGGTGTTACTCTGGCTCCCCAGGATACCTTCCAGATGGTGCCACACGAATTGCAGATCAAGCCTGGGACCTCTCACGTGTCACTGGCACTCTTGCTTCCAAACCTTTGTCCTGGCTGTTCTCTCTATCTAGAATGCTCTGTTCCCAGAATTCTACCTACCTGGCTTCATCTCATCACTGGGGTGTCAGTTCCAATGTCATTCTCAGAAACCTTCCCCTGCTACATCATTGCTGTCTAGCTCATCACACCATTTTATTTTCTGTAGAGCACTGATCACTCTGAAATCACCTTGTTTATTGTCTTTCCTGGGAAAGACAATGGAAGCTAATTTTGTGCAAGGGCCATGTCTGGCTGGTTTTCTGCTGTAACCCCAGCATCTGGAGCAGTTCCTGACATATATAAACATATACACATATACTCACATGTACGTGAACACAAGCATGTTAAATGAAAAACCAAACCTCGAGCAAGATTTTCCTTCCAGAAAAGAGGTCCAGCCTGGGCAGAGAGAATATAAGCTCAGTCTTGAAATGGCCATGGGCTAGTTCATTCATTCAATAAATATTATTGCCAGACACTATTCTAGGTTCTGAACACATAGCAGTGAACAAAAGATCCCTCCCTTCATGGAGCTTACATTCCAGGGGGAGGGGATAGTGAACAAGCCAAATAAGTCAACTAAGTGCACAATAGAAAGTGATAAATGCGTAGAAGAAAAATAAGTGGTAAGGGGTTTGGTTCCACAGTGCTGAGGGTAGGTGGGTGTAGGAGGAGAGCTATGTGTAGACATTAAATATGGTGGCTGAAACTGAAAGGTCCTGAGGGAACTGGTCTTAGAATCTCAGGTCAAAGGAAACCTTAAACAAAAGACTCGAGGTTGGAGTGTGTCTGGTGTGACTGAGGAACTGCAGTGCGACCTGCATGGCTGCAGCAGTGTCCCTCCTGTCAGCTTCCCAAGTTTGGGGAGGCAAGAACCTAGGATTTTCATTAGCTGAGGAATGCCTTTTAAGGAATGTCTGAAAACCCTACTTCTTCATCCTTTCCAGGGTGTAGTCTCGCAATCTGCACCGGCTCTCTCAGGGGCCTTGTTTTCTCTGCCTGGTGTTTGTTCTGCACCCCTTAATACTGCCACAACACTCCCACAATAGGGTGGGCAACATTAGCCCCAGTTTGACACATGAAAATAAAAAGCAAACCCTGAGGCACAGAGAGCAGTGCTAGCGGTCAATGCCCACCAAGAAGTTCTCATTGAATCTCCTCAGGGACCCTAGAGTCCCACCCCTTTTGACAGATGAAAAAACAGAGACTCAGAGGTTGAGATTTTCCAAGGTCACACAGCTCAGTCCTGGCAGAGTTAGAATTGAAATTCAAATCTTTCTCTTTTGTCTCATTTTTTTTCATGAAACCAGACATACAGAGACACCCAGCATCTGGGGAAGAAGTAGGAAGTTAAGAGGTGAAGCCCAGACCTTAACAGAGCACTAAGAAAGTGCCACTTAAGCCACACCACACAAGGAATATCTAGAATTGAGAATCCCGGAGTTGCTGTGTGATCTCAAGCAAGTTACTTCCCCTCTCTGGGCCCCCGTTTCCATGTCTAAAACACACTGAAGGCAGGAGTCTACTTTGTGCACTTGCTTCATAGATTCAGGAACCATGAGGTTCCTGGCACATAGTATATGCCCAAACCATGTCAGTCCTTGTTTATGGAGTTATATCTAACTGAAGTGAAAAGGCAGAGGCTGGTGCCAGTGTGGCCACCTTTGGCTATCCCCACATTTGGGTGAGATTAGCTCTGGGGCTGGCTGAGGTTCCCAGCCAGTGCACTGGGGACTGGCAGCACCAGGCCCCAGGCCTCTTTTCCCTGTGGAGTCTTCTGGAACAAGGATGACAGCAATGCCTTTGCTCTGCTGTTCCAACGTTTAACGGGGAACCTAGGAAACAGATAGGCCTGGCGAGGGGGTGTGGAGTTTCTGAGACCATGTCTTCTCCCTGTGACTCTAGTCTCACCTCCCCTCTAGCCAGGTCAGTCCAGAAAATAGTTCCCCTTCTCTCAGCTGCTCTGCCCCTCCTCCCACCTGAGGTTGGAG